TTTTTCACGAAAAGTATTGGATCAGAGCTAATATAATAGATTGGCGCTTACACATATGTTAGCGTTTGGCCGAACTCCTCCTCCGACTTGTGTCGTGCGCGTTTTACGCCGACTCCGAACGGCGATTGTTTTTTATGAGAAGCTGTTTTTCATGGCGGAGGTTTGCCATTGCCTGCCAAGGGACGACCGCTGTTAAGAAAAAAACTTTTTCTATATTTTTTTTTTGCGATGATGCTTTTACCAGGGCTTGAACCCAGGCGCTGATGAGTGAAAGCGCGCACTGCTTACCACTACACCACAGCGGCCATATACTACTAGCCAGGGCGTTGAGCTTGTCAATACACTCGCTCATGATGAAAATACTTTCATTACGATAGTTCCTACGCAGTTTAATCTCTGCACACAGACTAATGGCATAGACTTCCGCTTGAAAGATACTTGGGTATACGCCCATGAGTACCGAAAGCTTTAGCCTTGGTCCGTGGACGCCTGCCCCAATACCGTCGGGAGTTTTAGAGCCGTCTGTATGCCATTGCATTGAGCTCGCTTTTATCTGCCTCTTCATAAGAGAGGTGCTCCAAGTCAACTTGGTGCAAAGCACTATTTTGAATTTCCTGTCAAAGTTAACTAGTTTGGGCCTGTCGTCTGTGGGGAGCAGAGCTAATGGAATTTGGAAGCCTAGCTTGTCTCTGTTCCTCGATGGTAGGATTTTACCTCTACCAAGGCCTTCTCTTGCGAAGTTTAATAGAGTTTGCTTTGCTACCTATTCTATGGTAAGGTGCAGCGGCTTGAGCTCGAGAATCACCTCCAGCGCCGCCGTCGGGCCTGTGCGCATTGCTCCGTGATCCATACACTCGCCAGACGTTTAAGCTTAGTGAGTTGCAACGAAGGTTCTCGAGACCCACGCTACTGCCCCATAAGTAACTATTGGTCTAACTATCATGGTATACATCCATCTCAGGATCTTGGGACTACAGCCCCAACACTTCGGAGGCGACGGCCCATACTCAAGCACCAGCCTCTTGCTATGTTAAGTCCCCTTTGAACTATATCACATAGTGCTCACGAACTTCCCTCTGGCAATAATCACAATGACATCCGCCTACCCTTGACAGCGGATACCATTGTCAGTGAAAGTCCGTAGAAATTCGTCTTCAACTAAGCTCCACAGAAGCGGGGATAAAACTCCTCCCTGTGGGCAACCTCTGGTAGTTTGTAGCTGTACCACGCCGTCCCCGATGTCGGTTTCCGATATCCTTGTATTGAGAAACCTGACTATTCACCTGCGGATAGTTGCCTGCACATAACGTTTTTCAAGCGCCCCGTCGACACTATCGTGAGCTTGGGCTACTGCCAAGTGTCGCGTATTCATAGATAGGGCTCGTCAAGGTCGGAGAGCTGTAGTTCGCTCTCGTTCCGCTTAGGGCACGTATTTCTCTGAGGTAATGGTGACGGTAGGCCCAGTCGTGTTTGCAGGAGCTGGTGTCTCTGCGAGGAGTGGCTGCTCCGCCGGTAAGCCCGAGGTCGACTCGGTTGTCTGGGCAGCAGAGGAACCGGCGTCAGCGTTGGGCCCCATGGCTTTGGAGGTTTTCGCCTTCCCGATGGGTACCTGAACTTCACCGCTAGTGAAAGCAAGAGGGGCACAGTTTGTTGGCAGTTTGTGCAGCCTTCTGGTCACTCGACGCATGGCTTTGTCCACCGGAGGATGCAGTATGAATTGCCGGCTAAAATAGCTCGCGCATTGCTGCGGGACCGACGATGCATGTTCGCCGAAAAAAATTTCGACCCTGTCGTCCTGCTTCGTCGGATTGGACAGTGACCTCACGGTTGACCATAGCTAACTCACACCAGAGGCGAAGTTACAAGCCTTTCCAATAAACTTTAAAAAAGTTGATATAGGTCCGGTGTTCCGCGAAAGCAAAGTCAGTTGGTATATCGATCGAGATGACAATGGGCAGATGGTCTGATGCCAAAGTCAGCATAGGCCGCCATGATACGCTGTTTATCAGACCAGCGAGCTGCAGCAGCTGTTGTTGTTGTTGTAGCAGCATACAAATTCCCCAAAGACATTTTGGGGAGTGTTGCTGGAGTGACAGTCCTTGGTCAGATATAAATCTGGGTCGTTCCGGTTACGTAGACCCGACTGTCGTGGCATAGGCCGCCATGATACGCTGTTTATCAGACCAGCGAGCTGCAGCAGCTGTCCATAATCCTGGTGGGTGCGTCGTCGTTCATTGTACAGCATGTCGAATCGTCTATCTGCTCAGCCAAGTCTATTCCTCTACGATCGTTTGACAGGCATGAATGCCAAAGGTCGTGGTGTGCATTAAAGTCACCAACTACCATACGGTTTTCACCTCTGAGGAGCGCACCTATATCAGGGTGATATCCTGCCGGGCAGCTAGTGACATGGGGGTATATAAACGTTAAATATTTCTAGCTCAACATCGCCTGGCCGGATAGCAATGCCCTGACATTCTAGGGTGGTATCCCTGCGGTCGATGTCTGCTTCAATAAGACGATACTACACGGTGTGCTGCGTGATGAACGCTAAGCCACCACCTCTATCAAACTTGAGATCTCGACGGTGCACGTTATATACGGCACAATTCAACAATGTTGAATTGCTTTGCAACTTCATCTCTTGGACCGCAGCTATCAATATACCATGCCTTCCCATGAAGACGGTTATCTCCTCGATCTTGCTCTGAAGTCCGTTACATTTAAATTGAAGGAGCTTCATGTGGTTCGGTAGACGTGTTGTTATGCGGGGTGTGAGGAAAGTGTGTTGCCTTGCCGCCAATGGCTGTGTGCGCTGCTGTCGAGGATGCCGCCCTGTGGTGGTAGTGGGTGGCGTCGTTGAGACCGAGCAGCGCAACACGGGCCCTCGAAGTTCCTCGTCCAATCTCGCGTGGTGCGCAGACCTGAACAAGCCCTAAAGTAGCACCAGCCATGGCTGGTGTTGCACTTGACTGATGCCACGTTACGGAATATCCTGGTCTGACATACCGTGCAGATTATAGGAAGTTCCTCCAAGAGTTTTGGCGGCGGCGTGTGGATGGTGGTGTGGTTGTGTCTGTTGTGTGGTTTGTCGTGGTTGTGGTGTGGTCTATTGTGTTGTTATGTTATGGTGCTGTGGTGTTTGTGTTGAGCTGCTCAGGTGGACTGGGGTTAGCAGTGAAGGCTGCTCGGTTTGAGGAGCAGGGGGCCCACAAATCATGTGGTCCACTGTCTATGAGTCCTTAGGAGTGAGCAGACTCTGAGGTGACTCCACTCGTCGCAGGCTGAGGTTGAGTTGTGGTGTAGTCGTCTCTGGCATACACAGCAGGTGTAAGTTTCTGGCCCTGGGTTTGACTCGATACCTGCCCTGAGCAGAATAATACGTAGCAAATGTAGCCCTATGGACGAACAACTTCTGAGATACTTCGCCGACCTAAACGGGGTTAGATCACCGAAGCAACAGCCCTTGGTCGGGTAAAACCCGAGTCATTCCGGTACGTAGAACCGGCTGGCGTGGGAATGGCGGATCCGGTAACACCACCTTGTATAGATTCGCCTTTTTCCAAGAATGTTTGTTGTAATTTTGTTTTGTACTGATTCGTTATATAACAAAAACCATGTTAATGAAACTTTGTACAAAAATTAGCAAAATTCGAAGAAGTTTCACCAAAATTTTGAGCTTTTTAATTAGTTTTCCTAGAAAAATTTTGAATAGGCAGTTTTGTAACCCATTCATTTTTATTGCAAATTTAAAGTAGCTAGGACTTATCTATTGTTTTTGGAAATTTGTTTTTGTATTTTTGGAAATTTGTTTTTGTGGAAGATTTTGGTCTTTTTCTCCATACAAAAAAAATTCTAACATATTTTGCATGGAAGAAAATGCGCGAACTTATCTACTGTTGATTTTTGGGAATTTGTGTTTGTGGAAGGTTTTGCTCTTTTTCTTCATACAAAAAAATTTCGAACATATTTTGTATGGAAGAAAATGCGTGAACAAAAAATTGCTAAAACTCAAAGGAAAGTCTAAACTACTTAGAACTTGCACTTTGTTATACTAAAATTTAATGGGCTACAAAGCTGCATGCTCAAACAAATTCTAAAAATTTGATTAAAAAGTTTAAAATATTGATCAACATTTCGTCGCCTGGGTAAAAGATTGTCGTAAGCGCCATTTTGACTATTTTTAGTTCTAGATGCAGTTATATATTTTGAAATAAGGTCTTTCGACTGCTGTTATCAGTTTTTAGATATCTCCTTTAGTTTCCGAGATACTGACTACAACTTTTTCGATAATTTAGTAGAAATTTAGTTGGTGGCGGTGACTGTCTGTCCGTCCGTCCATCTGTCCTTCTGTGCACACGATAACTCGATTAGAATTTTAAATATTGTAACGAAATTTGGTATGTTTACTTCTTTTTAGCGTAGGACTGATGGTATTGAAAAAAAATCGAGCAATAACCACGCCCTCCTCCGATATAAGGGTAGTTTTCAGAAATACGAAAACTGCGATATTTTAGTAACTAATGAAGCTTATTAACTCAAAATTAATATTTAAAATGATTTTTATACGACAAAAATAAGAATATTATACATTTTTTGGAAAATGGGCATAGCCACGCCCACTTATGATTACATGTGTATATCTTTCGAACCGCTCCCCCAATTTCTCCCAAAATTGGCACAGTTGTTGACCTTGGTACAACATACCAAACGACCGAAAATTTTTAAAATCGGACCATAACCACGCCCACATCCCATATAACGGATATTTAGAGAAATACGAAATCTTCGAGAAATCAGTAAATACTGTAGCTACTTTATTCAAAATTGATGTTTGCAATAATTATTTAGCAAAAAATACGTTTATTATAAAATTTTGGAAAATGGGCATGGCACCGCCCACTTATGACCACATATGTGAATCTGGGTAACCGTTCGATCAATGTGTACCAAACTCGGTATTATTATTGTGCTTGCCACATAAAAGCAAACCGTTGAAAATGATTGAAATCGGACTTAAATTACGCCCTGCCTGGTTCCGACAAAATAAAATAAAATAGCTAACATAAAACCTGGACCTGTAGCGCACTCCCGTTGGCTAACCAAGGCCGGCCGAATTTTACGATTATACGTTTCAACAAGTTCACCACCTTGTAACTTAAAAACTCTAGAAGAATACCTTGTAAGAGTTTATGTTCCCATGTACTTTAACACTAAATACTAACATTCCATTATATACGGCAGTCTGCTTCTAACACATACTTTGCTCATGCAGCAAATGTCATGCTATCAATTCTTTACGATGAAAGGCAATAGAAGAACTTAAAGAGTACAAGAAATGTGAAATTAATTTTGACTGCTCCAATTATTTCGGTATGATAGATTTGGATGATGACAATATTTTAACAGAACCGACAATTACTACATTCCGCACAACCATTTGAAGGAATATTTAGAATTTGAAGACCTATCACTTCCGGACCCACTAGTTCCATGCCACGTACAAGGAACTGAACATTACGTTCACGTACGTGGAAGTGTTATGGCTGTGACTGATTTTTAGTAAAAAAAAAAATACCCCGCTTGGAATTGTAGGACTTAAAAACGTTCTTATTTAAGTATTAAAAAATGAAGTGCTTTTTGTACCCTTACACTCATAAATTTGTATAAGTTTTTCCCACAATATTTTGTATTACCTGATATGAAACTTCCCCTTAAAATTCGCTGGCTCTAAATTGGTTTTAGACCAATAGTTTCTTAAACAAAGTTGTTCAGAATAATACGTTGAGCATTTTCCGCATATGCGATTTTATTGGAAAAAATCGACCCGCCCTAATGTATATGAAATGAACGATTTCTTCAACTTAAAAAAGGTATATATGTATGTACGTCTTCAGATAAAAATTTAGTTTTTTGCGAGATTTGTGTGATGAATATACAGCCAAATTTCTGGCTTCGGAGTTTTATGAGTGAATTCCCTCACTGTGGTAGCTAAATAAAACTTTCTTATAAATTTGCGTGCGTAACAAAAACAAATTGGGAAAATTAGTTTTGCTTTACCTTTTGTCAATATGTGTCCATATGGAGCATAAGGAGCTACGATAAAAAGCTATACACTCACGAGCATCTTAAATTCTAGCTGTTCTTGTTGGGATTTTAAAATGGAAGTGGGCAAACGTTTCTTAAATATAAAAATAACTTGCTAAAGCTTTTGGTTTATTTTAAATAGTTTTAGAACTCGTTTGTCACTACATAAACCAACATTACTATGTCAATCGGGTTGCTTTCACTTCTGTAGTTCAGCCATTTGTGCTTCAAAAAGAGCAGTATTTATTTTATGCTTGAGACCCAATAACACTTCTCGGTTCGTTATATTACGCATTTCATTAGACACGTACTCTCCATACGTTGTAAATTCGTCGCGCATTGTCCCAGTTTTTCTACACACATTCTCATCTAAATTTCGCCCTGGCAATTGAGGTTGCCTTTTTTGCTGGTGAATTTTGATTTTGGGATTCATCAATGCATTTGTTGTATTCGATACTACAGTTGGCGTCGACGTAACTATAGTTGCACAATGTTGCTGCCCAGTGCTTTCGTAGAAAACGCGCTTGTTGTCTAGTGTTGCCACAGCATCCTCTTCAAAAAATTCAGGCTCGGTACATGTGTCACGGCGATGTATTTTTATTATACGGGTAGGTAATGGTCCTTGATGTATTGTCTGTTGATTTGTTGGCCCGCCATCGCACCCGTTAGCACCGCTCGACGTAGAGTATACAATACCTTCTTCTTCTGCTTGTATTTGGAGTGATTCTATGTGATCGTCATCGTCCTCTATTGTGTGACTTTCTGAATGATTTCCATGATTATTTGTTTCTTCCTGTGGGTGCATTTCAGCAGTAAAACCGTGGTGACTCAAGGAAACAGAGATTTTTGGTTTGTCATCAATATCCTCAACATCTTTGGTAGTTTCTTCAATTAATTTTTCTAACGCCCTTGTACGACTCGCGTTTCGACGGCTTGTGTTGTTCTCCATAGCTTCTATTGTTATAGTTGGTTTCTGATGCAATGTTAAAAACTCTTCATTTAAATTGTTGCTTGAGTTCGCAGAACTGCCGCTGTTCTCATGTTGTTGTGTTGTCAAATCCCTTATAATATATTTAGTGGTAACAGTGCTCTCTTCCGAGATTTCGTTTTTAACACGTCCTCTTGACAAGCGACGGGCCATGGGCGAGCTTAGAAACTGTAAGTTCTTAAAGCCAAACCATTTCGAATTGTAAGGTTCTTTACGCTTATTTCGATTTATTTCACGGTGGTATTGAGTACGTAGGGTATGGAATTTCTTTTCGATTTCCCCAACAGGTATGTTTCCGCCTAGACTGCTGCTAACTTCCATTAAAAGATTTTGCTTAACATCTTTCTTCCGATAATCATCGTGTGTCATATCCCATAGGCCTCGCCGTTGGCGGTATTCATTTATAAGAGCGAGTGTTTTTTCTCTTGTCCACTCCATGTTCACTTGTCACAAAAATATATTATTGGTATTTACAGCACCTTCTACGATAAAGAAGTATGTAAATATATGTATCTACAAGTGGCTTTGTGGGGACAATTTTGCTCGTCCGTTTTTTAATTATAATTTTCTCACCTACTTTATGTGAATTGTACTTTGTTGTTTATACGCATTCCAAAGTCTATTGAATTATTATCCTTTTACGTACGTGTGCAGAAACACTAAATGTATAAAGAGAAGTACGCGACGTTTAATAAACTAGTACATATAAAGCCAGGCTAATTTAATGCCTTGGCTTCGCAAAATACACATTTAGAAATGGAAAATAGGGATGAAACGATACCAGTAAATACAAGTACATACTCGATACTTTTCGTTCGATACCAACTAATTTTGGCACTGATACTTTTAAACCAACTCCCAACAAACATTTACGGCGCGTTTACATTGGACAATGCTGTCAAGGCAATGAAGATATACGCATGCATGGAAAAGTATGCATGGATTACTGAAAAAAGTGCACGTGTTGCATGTGACAGTATTGTCATGAGTTAGGGTTTACAACGGACAATATTGTCAAGAAAATTATGTCAAATGATGTATTTGTTGCCCTACAAGAAGGTCGGCAAAAATCCTCCGGCTGAACCCTCCACGAGGGTGCCGACTGGAAATGGGCACTACAGAGGATTCTGTGCCATGTCAGAATGGTGCTCAGCTAAGATCAGGAATTAGTGCTATGTGCTAAACTACTTAATAGCTTGGTCATATGGAAATGGTTTTTGATCGTGGTTTGGAGGTCTGAAGGGGCTGGATCAAGGCGTCACGCGCACCGTACAGGGGATCGGGCAGGTTGGGGGCCCCTAAATAGCCCAGTCGCGAACGGAGCCCTCTGGGAGGCGGCCACACCCAGGATGTAAGTAGGCCTTACCTGGGCATCGCGGACCTCTGCCCGGGTGGACGAACCCTTTCTCCGCAGCCCGTGGGAACAACTATGGATAAAAATCAAAAAACAACAGCAACAACAACAACAAAAACAAATTATAAAGGGACCGGCCCCCTTAAGGCGTCGGAAGGGTCTCGGCCCACTAAAGAAGGGGCTCAAGCGATGCAGAGTACCTCCACCAGCCGTAGTGCGGTGACAAACGGCGGCAAACCAAGGCCAATGGTGAAACCCGGCCAAGCTCTTGCAAAAAAGAAGGAAAGCGGC